AAATAATTTTCGGGACGTTTCGAAAAATTGGCCTCCGATACCGAACTTGGCTTCCATTCACCTCATCGATCGTCCTCGGACACTTGCGTTTCCCAGTGTACTGGATACTGTAACAATCGTCCATTCTTTATTACGATCGGTATATTTTTACATTGCGGCATGTGTCGTCAGCAGTGACGTAGGAAGGAAAATATCGCAGCCCTACCGTTGTGCACGTGTCGAGCATACACACACGCGTGGATAGGCACATGATTCTTACAAAGACTGCCGTCCATGGCGATATACTTCCTGCAAAGCTCGTGTACTTCGTCGACGATGACAGTGACGTCGGCGAAAAGGATATCCGGCTGCCCATTCATGTCGGTGCGTATTTCGACACGTATTTCGACCAAACGAGTTTTACCGGCCATTATGTCACCGCCTATGCGGGCTATACTTCAACCCCTCTCTCTGTGTGCCGCGGCTCTTGTTTCCCACCAAATTCCACCCCCAAACTCAGTCTCATTAATCTAAATCGACGTAGACGACGTAAATGAAGCCATCGCGGTTCTTTTGTAAAGCCTTTGTGGGGATGCCATTAGAAGGCCTATCCTCCGTCAAATAGTGGCACGTGAGCTTTTCTCAGGCCCGCCAAAAAGTCACGAATGTTACTGCTTGCTGCTTTTGTGCGGATTTTTTTCTCATTTCTCACATATTTTAAAATAAAAATAATCTCGCTCGAAGAAAGTTTCATCGGCAGTACTGCATTCCTTTGTAATTTTTTTTTCTTTCAACATGTTACGCATTCGAAACTCTTCGTTGCAGCGATTTAAACTGTGCGCTTTTAGATACTTTCTTAAACTCGACATCTAAGGTAATACTTTTTAAATAGTTAAGTCAACAATAGTGACAAAACTTCTCTACAAAGTAACATTGTTGTCTCCCGTTTCTTCATTCTTTTCCGTTTTTCTTACTTTTTTTTAAGCATGTTTTATGTTTGAGAAGATATCATGCCAACTGCTAAGCAATCAAAATAATTCCATTTTATTCTGTGCTTTTCATAAAATATTTCTCTTTTCTCATTCATTTTATAAGTTTATTTTATTTGATTTATGTATTAATTCTGATCTAAATTCAGATTATAATTTAGATCAGTATAAAGTCATATGTATGTAAATTACGAATTTGTTTATCCATAATAGAAAAAGATGAAACATTCGCTTGATTTACACGAATGAGAAATTTAAAAATATTGTGCATAAAGTAACAATTATTTCATCGCGCTTAATTTACAGCTTTTCGTTAAGAGTCTAGAAATTTCGTTAATCCGCTTTACTAATTTCGAAAATGAAATGACGGTATACCGAGATTGATTCTATTCGTGGCATTTGCGAGGCGCATTTCCTGTGCCTTTTCCCAGGTTAATGTTGATTTTCAGGAATTTATTAGCAGGTATGAGGTAATCCTATTTATAGAATTCACGCATCTCGTGCTCTCTGACTGCTCTCAACATATGCTTGTTTCTCATTAACAATTTGACCGTTGTAGCAACTCAATTCGAGCGATAAAACAGCTTAATGCCCACCGAATGAACTGTTGTGAATTATGACGAAGCTTTATCGGGAATAACGAGAAAATACGTAGAAAAGTTGCGAAACTATCGTTTGAAATACGCTATTCGAAATACGAAATTTACGCTCGTTACTACAATATATCTCGTGTATTACCGAGATATATGCGACTTGGGTTATGCAAATAGCGTACGATGCAGTCCTTACGCGAACGCTATACGTTAGGCAGTTAAAATAACGTAGAAGGATAAGATGCTGTATAAACTTGTATACGGAGACAAAGTATGACAACAAGTGAAATAGCACGTGCACCGTTTTGTAAGCAAACCACATTTATCTACCGATATAACAGCTCGATATTTCTTCGAAGCGCAACGAATGAAACGGGGCGAAAAGAAAGATTAATTAATCGCTACGCTTTCAGTTTGTTAGATTAATAACTCTTTAACATAATTCTTTGATTTGATTAAATTCTTTCCCTCAAACGTATATAGTTCCCACGCTAAACTTCAATGACGATATCTTAATTACTTATTTTCTATCTGCTAGATCTCTTACGCGTAATTTGTGTGTAATAATTAGACGATATTCCCTACGGTTCTAGCGCTGTCTCTTCTTCCTTGAGGAGACTCATTAACACAAGTTCTCCATGGTGCACGGGAGTTGCAACGCACGTGCCCACTTAGTTTTCCCTAAGTTTCCCTTCGGTTTTACGTATGCCTCATTAATTACTGCCACATCGTCTTCTAACACTTGGCTAAATGGCCGTTGCACAATTCGGCAAAGTTGCTTATTGCTGCTCCGCTTCGCCGTCGCTTATTCAAGAAGTTCAAGACAAGTCTCGAATCGTATTACTTCCATACGAGGGGCCGTTAAAAGGGATTCACGCTTATCCGTCCTTTAGCGGTGCTATCGATTTTTTCAATTCATTAATATCCCTGAACGGCGGCGCGCTCTGCCTTTCGAAGCGAAAATTGGCCGATAACGCATTGCCGACTATATATATTTTTTTCCATATTCTACGCGATGACGTTTTGTGACTACGAGCTCGCGCTCGTTACCATCAAAGCGGCTAATTAAACGGAGTTTTTGATTTATTTTTCTGTTCTCGGAGCAAGCCGTCCGATAAATCGTTCATTGGGGCTCGGCCACTGGGGATGCGACGATAAATTACTTTTTACCGCATAATTAATTGCAGTCCTAATAATTCGGCCTGTTTACACAGCGCACGTATAGTCAAATGTGCGGCATGCGTTCTACGTTGAACGTTACAAAGGTGATTAATCAACGCCGCGCGATATTCCCGTAGTGTATAAACTAGAAATTAACGTCGGATCGATATATGCGTAATACGTTTGACTAATCTGATTAACGATTGCATTAATTTCATTCTTGTGATCCGGAAATGCTCAACGAGAGAAATGCCAGCTTGAAAATAATTAACCCGTAGATGTAAGTAGGCGTAAGTAATTACACATGTCCAAATAATCGCGCAGCCATTATCGTTTCAATTGAAATAGATGCATTAGAGATAACTCAAATTTCTATTTCAAAAAGATACGCGACTTTTTCGACTCATAGAATTTGATCGACCGTTGGTAATATCTTCTTTTAAGGACCTTATTTATATTTTAGAAAAAAATAAAATATGAATTTATTCTAAGCGGAAAAAAAATCTCAAACAGAAATCAAATTTTACGATATGAGTCCAATGAATCTACATGTGTTAAAAACGTAGCAACGTTTAAAAAACTCAGTGCCCTTTATTCTAAAAAAATAACGCATTTTAATTACATGCAAACGACAATCACGTCGGTTCAATGTTAAATTAATCATTGTACGTCGCGAGACTTTAATTCTATGCAAACGGAATGTACCGTATTGTATTATGCATATAATGTTCCCTTGTCAACCCGAACGACCCCGAGTTTCGGGCGAACCGAGTTGTACGAAGTACGTGATTATCGGCCGACGGAATTCGTAACATGATGAAGCGATGAATTCTGCGAGCAAGTTCCAGACCCTCCAAGATACCCCGGTGTACCCCGCTTGAACTCGGAATATTAATGTATCCTAAAGGGAAGACGAAGCAGGGAGGGGGAGAGAGTCGGAATGTGATCGCGAAATATTTGAACCAGGCGATAGACCGTGTTCCGCGCGCGGCGGCGGTAAACGTTTCACGGCGCACGGGTAGGTATATTTGTCGCGACCTCACCGATACCTCGGCCCTCGTCTTCAATGGGCGCACGTGCGCCGAATTCAGCCGCGGGGCCGTCGACCATTATTCTCCCCGTTGGACGCAGTCCTGTTGCATCTCGTATTCTGCGGCGTCGGCTGCACACACCGCGGCGGAGTCCAAAACTTGATCCCCGCAGCGGCACGTGCTCGAGTGCAATCTGGCCCCGGAACTGGCCGGGGACGGGAATGCGTTCGCGCCCGTGTTTGTCGAAGGATTAAAGTAGTTTGCCCGCGCTGTCGTTCAGCCGCGGATAGACCGAAACCGAACGAAAGTGGACCAAACGTGCGCTCCCAGACGGCTTCGGCTCTATCGACGCTCGTGCAAGTTGGGAACTCGCGAACTTTATAATCGTCGACGTGCATTAATTTATCCCTCTCCCCAGTGCATTAGAACTGCCGAAAGATGATCAATTGCGAGCAAGTGGCGTTAGAATTTACAAGGGATTTAAGATAAAAATTATACACTCGTTTATTTATTTAATTCCTTTCGACATGTGAAAGGAATTTATTTTATACGAAAAGTAGCACGCGACGCTGCAACATTTCGTTTTCATTTGAATTTCACTCGAGCAATTTTAATTACAAGTTCTTTTTTGTATTTAGTTATATCTTAATTACATAACGCAGTAAACTTCTATTCTATTGTATATTTCAACAAGAGAATTTATAACTTGTTACATAATTTATATCTGAAAAGAGAATGATGTAATTTATATACATTTTATAGACTTATATACAATTTATATACATTTAAAATAGATATGTTAATCCTACTATTTAATCTTATTATTTAAACGTAATATAAAAAATATCATTAATTATTGACTGACTACTGCAGTAACTCCGCAATATGTTGAAACCAATGAGAAAAAAAATGCGTGCAGCTTTTATCAGTATAAAAAACTAAAAACTGCGTAAATAATTGCTTTTTGGCGCAAATTGCTGACTGTTTGTGAGAACAGAAAGTAGTGAATAGAAAAAAATGTTTCCGGAATTGTTTATTCTGTCCATTGTAACAGAAATAATTAAATTGCCTTCTATTATGCTTTTTTTGCGAAAGAAAAAAAGGCTGTTCAACGAAGCGAGGATCTTTTCTCTCGTATCTGTTCGTAAATACGCTTTGACAAGGGTCGCGATTATTTGCGACTCACACCCTCCGGAATAACGTACGAGACTTGACTGACATTCGATTTTTCTCGTTCTTTATCGCAGAAAGCCTTTGCGGGCACCACGAGAAACGCTTACTGAATCACCTGCTGGCAAATTACAACACCTTGGAACGACCGGTCGCGAACGAGAGCGAGCCACTGGAGGTGAAGTTTGGCATCACTCTGCAGCAAATCATCGACGTGGTAAGTTTTCAAATCTCTTTCCCTTTTGCCGTATATTTCACACGTTAGTATATTACGTACAAAGTACACACATACATCGTAGTCTCAGAACATAATATATAAGTATATTTATTTATGATATTATCGGAAAGAGAGAAAGAGAATTATATTTGTTATATCAACTATATTTCAATACATAACGATTAATGTCACAGTACACATTTGACAGTAATCAGTCGAATGTGTAATAGCTAACATTGATAGCAACACATCTAAAGTCAAACATCTTCACTATCTTAAGTATAGTGAAGATTAGCGCAAATGTATTGTATTTGAAATCTTATGGATGGAGTATCCATTATGACTGGCTATTCTGCAGCCCCCGTGTGAACTCTCGCGATAAGAAGCGCCAAGATTAGCCGCGCAAGTTTTTACAAAATATCGGGCTTATCTAAATGAGAGCATAGTTAAGCGGGGACGAATGAGGTAAGATTGCATTACGCTCTCCATCTTTGCACTCTCTCCCTCACCGCGGTTATTTACTTTCATCATCATTATATACAACGTATACCATCTATATACGCGGTACATGGCGCAGACGTTACGGTTTCCTAAGGAAAGATCTGGAAACGCGTTGGCAGTAAAACGCGCTGGCAAAACAAAAAGAATCCAGCGTGCCGCCGTTAATTCTGTATTTAAGAAAATTCGCATTCCGCAAGATGTTACGTGAAAGAAGTTCATTGAATCCTTTTACAAATTATTTCGCAAGTTATGCAACAACATACCAAACGACATACGAAATTACAATTCAATTTTGCGCGAAAAGTAGAAATTATTACGCGAACGTTCTTATTACGAATTTACTGTATTATAGATGAGACCCATATTGCAATTTCAATTGAAACGTTTCGATTTGGATGAGAAATATGCCGCTGAGGCGGATGTCAATTCTTGGCAGGAAAAGTAGAATACATACATTTTTCGCGTGCACGATAAAATGTTACTAAATCCTTTATATCTATATCTTTCCGTTCGTAGCAATCGTATATATTAAATTTTCATCGATTGCAGCATCGTGTATATCTTTTTCGTATCTTGGTATTTCTGATGCACGCATATTATATCGGCCAAGCTTGAAATTGCAGGCATACCGAATGATCCCCGTAGACTCCCGGTTTGGAGAATAGTCGATATCGTTCTATAATCGTGAGCATTATCGCGATCCGTATAAATAAAATCCTGACTGATCAATATTTGATGGGCATAACGAATGGACGGCGTTCAAACCGTTCATTAAGAATTTACGATGCAGGAGTTTTTTTTCCCCCTCGATTCCCAATTACAATTATAAATTGACTGGGAGGGAGGGAGGGGGAGAGGGAGAGAGAGAGAGAGAGAGAGAGAAAGTACGTGCAATCCACTTCGGTTCCGCCAACTTGACGGGAGTAATATATAGCCGGGATTAAAGAAACCGATTGGAGGTGTTTCCTCTCAAAACATCCTTGTGGTCAGAGTTAACGGCCGAGGGAATATATCTGTCACGGCCGAGCCTCTTTACGTCACAGGCTTCCGATTTACTTTTCACTCGCAACGAAGACCGCAGGATTTTACAACGTTTCAACATACTTCTCGGAATGCTTTTGCCGTCACTTTCAATATAAATGAAATTTATTCAGATATTTTTCCCACTATTCGGATTCTTCCGAGCCGTAATATGAGTAACGTTGATGCAGCTTAATTGTAGAAAGTAAATACTGTTTTACGGCGAACGCGCGTACGCCGCGCGCGTGTCGCCGGCATTTCTTTTATTTATTCACAAAGGATATGATTATCCGGATAACACGAGCCTTTACCTCTTCTTATTCGGTTTCGCGTCATCATTATTATTATTCTCGTTGTTATCGTTATATTCCGCCATAGCTTTCCCTTTAGAAGTTCATACAATCTGATATATTTTCTGTAAAAACAAAAGGCCGCGCTATGTGTTCTGGACATTAAGAGCACAGACGTTTCCGGAGCGAACTCTCTTTCTTTCCTCTAGTAGCAAAACATATTCCATTACAACCCCTGCGCGCCACCCTTACGTCCGCGGCGTCGCGTCGTTCCGCTAAGTCGCATCGCTCAAACTGACTGGGCTTTTTGCCGTTGCCCTTTTCAAAGTATCGTTGCCTTTGGAAATTACGGGTATCTCTGTAGTTTTCTTATCTGGCATGAGTTGCAACAAGAAGCCCCCGGCAACCTTAATGAATTAATTCATAAATCTTATAGTGCAAAAATTCCTTTTATTACTTTCGAATAAAATCCTTGAACTGATTTCTTTGTACAGTTAATGCAATACAGCTGTGCAAATCGCCGTTTAATATTTTATACACGGAATATACATAGTATTATTATTATTATTATTATTATTATTATTATTATCATCATCGTTTAAATAATTGTTTTACAAATACCTGTTAAAATTATTTTCGGAAAATTACTAAGAGGAAGGTATCAGTTTAAACAAGACGCCACTTTGTTTACAGTTTTTACACAAAACATATGTTGACTATTTTAACTGCGCAAAAGTGTGTATAGGGAGCAGCTGCGAAGCTATCAACATTAAAGAAAATCTTGATGCTTGCAAGCTTTGGAAAAATACGAAAACGTAGATCGTAAAATATGCTCTTTCTAATATTTCTTACGTAATAACTGTCTGTGATTCGACGTTACCTTAAAACCGGATATGTAATATACATTTTTGATCAGTGTCTCATGACAGTCATATGGTATAAATAAAATATGGGAAATCGTTAGATATGTGCATACAAGCTGCAGTGACATTTTTGCATAACAATTGGAGGGAAGATGCCACCAAATACAAAACACAATTTTTCGTGCTTGACACTTTTATTAAAATAATTTTATGACCTAAAATTTTGGTTGTTTTATATAATTTATAGATATTTTAAATTTATAAAATGCGATGTTTAAATCCGCTGTTTGCAATATGTTTTGCAATGTTTTATGGTATTAATATTTTTAGTTTACATTTTATCACAGATTTTTGTTTTAATAACTTAAACTTGATTGTGTAAGTAAACAGTTTTCTATTACAATTTTTTAGTGTGTCATACTATTTAATTGCTTGTGATATTTTCCCACATAAGAGGTGGCATCTTATTTGTACGGAGGACTGCCACTTTTGCAACACGCCATTTTTGCAAAGCATAACTTATCAATTTTTTTTCCAATAAATATGGAATATCGAAATTTTAATTTCTCATTTGGTATATATATGAATATAGGTTTTTAGAACATAAATATTAATTTTTTATAGTTTCATTTATTAATATATATGAGCCCGTTATTAGAATTAAATGTTGCATTTTCCTCCGAGTCATCTGATATAATAAAATTTAATAATGTACATGTAGTGTACTTTAGGAAATTGTTTTGTTATCATTTATCAACTATATGTATATATGAATATACATATAATTTTATAGTTAAAGTAAATGTCGAATGCAAATAAATTAACGCAATTGCGCTTAAAAAATTGTATACAAATAATAGGAACTTTGGTATTATCAAATCGTGGGTGTTTTATGTTTCGGATTGTGGGATGTAATCAGCTTGCAAAGCAAATAAAGCCAGCGTTGAATCAATCGTATTAAGAGTATTAATACCTGTTTAATTAATAATGCGCTGTAATATTCATGTAGGTACATAAATAGAAATAAATCGAGCAATATTGTATATTACAATTATTGTAGAATAATTGATGTAAGTGTATACATTGAAAAGGCCGCGTTATCTTACTATCGCGAGATATAAACGACATAGCAACAAAGCGAATCTCTTTGACGGCTAATCGATAGAATCGAAATACATTGATATTCCGTCCAACTGTATTCGGATTCCTATGACAGCTTACCAAAAGAGCCGATATTGCTTTTTTAACTTAAAAGATTTCGCGTGGATTGTGTGTACGTATATCTATATGTGTGCGTATGTGTTTAGCATAAATCCGACATCTTCATCAGCGCAGAAAGAATCCACAAAAGTCCTCAGAATAGTGAAGACAGATTGCGAATAATAATTTTGTAATGAGGTTATGTTTTAGATTTTTTAAATTTATATACGAATGTGATCTGCCCAAGTCTCTATATTAATTTTAATTGAAGATTAATTTGGCTCAATTTGATCTCAGTACAAACCTTTATTAAACCGCCACTCTTTGTAATCTAATAAATACGAGAGTACCAGCTCCGAAAAAGTTCTTCATTAATACATTAAAGCTAAACTTTTATTCGATGCCGGAATTGGAAAGCGAAGTCCTTTAATTGGTCACATAAGTAGAAAAGTTTATAATGGCAGAAACCTGATTCCGTACGTTGGGTAAAGCGGAGAACACGATAGCGAAACAAGATCAACAGAACTTTCGGCATTCGTGAAAGCCGGCAAGATGAAACTAATCACGTTTTTTACGTACCTAGCAGTTGAAAAATCTCATGAAACAACGCTATCATTTACGTGAAAAATATTAATTCTCGGAACTGTTTTATCATTGCATCGGTAAATACGAATGTTTTCTGTCACGCGAACGTTTACGGTAATTACCGCATACGTCATATTGCGCGATTTTTATCACCTCTTCGACAACACGCGTCGGGATATAATATCGCAAATAATGATCGCGTTTTTCTTAATTCCATTTCCAAGTTCTTCAGCGTGCTATAAACTTTTTACGTTTAACGGTAGGTCGTAAACATTTGACCGCGCTTAGTCACGACTTTTTCCACTTCTCGTGGCCGATGTGACGTTGAGTAGCGCTACTGCTTGGCTCACCACTGCACTGCTGCAATCGAGCGACACATCTATCTCGCAAAAGGACTTATTTTTACTGTATTTTCAGCATACTATTTTTCCGCTTACTGCTGTCAAGATGTGATATATTATTTTTCATGAAATTCGTAAATTATACGCCTTATAAATAAAAGTGAACGAAGAATAATATAAGGGCATAATTCTAACTTGATATTTTTGGTCGCGCTTTCTTCTTTAAAATGCGAGAATACAACAAAAATTATTAGCGACACGGTTCAAAGTTTTTTGCTTAATGTAATGCACATGTGCAACTTGTGCATTACGCGGTCAAAATACACGCGTCGTAAACTTTTTGCGCCAAGCGACACATTTCATCGATTAATCATAGCGTATATTGCAGAACTCCTGTTTCGAAACGGTCGCGCCTTTCCGCTTGACGAATGTTTATGCACTTTGTCAGCGCCTGATGACGTTAATTATCTTGATTAATCGCTTGTCTTTAATTAAGATTTCTTGCCTCCTCCGTGAATAAATCGTGCAACGATACGCGGATATTTATTTGACTCGAGCTCGTTTCCTTCGTGGACCGTCTCTTCGTCGAGTAAAATCCCTACAATCCCTGAATTCGTAATACATTTCATTCACTGGTGAACGAAAAGAAATGCAGTGGCATTGTTACCGCCATTGTCGGCCACGAAATGAAACTCTTGGAGTTTTTATCGATCAGAAATCGCGAATTTTATGTACATCTCCGCAAAGTCTGTCGAATAATGTTGAACGTCAAGGGGAATCCGTATGCCAATTTCGCATCATTTCAGACGGGAAAGTGAGCCGTGAAATTCGCACTTTTTTATTCATCCCGCCTGCCGGATTTCGTTTTGAGCTGAGCTCAGCGCATTTGATAGATTGTTATATCACGTCGACAGTTTGTAACGCAAAATGTATTACGTATAAAACACCCAACTGGGTAACACACTGTCTGTTACGAGAAAATGAAGAATTTATAGACATTCTGGAAAAAAAAATTATTCTGGTTTGAAAATCTCGCTTTTATTCTGTAAAAGCGAGATTTTACGTTAAAAAAGGGAATTAATTTTTATCTATTTATTACGACATCTATTTGAAACCTAGAAATATTTGCGATAACTTCATTAGTCTCAACTACGATATCTCATGGATTCACGATGAAACAAATATTAATTCGTAGCACCGCTCGTAATTTTGTTTGCTTTTACCCAAGCGGACGCTACGAGTGATGAACATTGCGCTATACCGTAAGTTTTTAGTCTTTGTCGCAAGATGCAATTACTGTCGCGCCAATAAGTCAGTCATGACAAAACGCGTCCGTGTTACTCGTACATAAAGAACGCCGATGTAGCGGAAGCGGAAGCGTGCCGCGAAAAGACGTGACTACGAAAGAAAGTGCAGGTCGTAACACCGGCATCTTCGTCACGCAAAATCCTTTAGATATTTCGCCATTAGATATTTCATACTGAACGACAAAAAAAACAAAAACAAAAAAATTTGACAGAAACCTGAATTTTCTTTCGACTTTACGTATATTGCGCTTTTCATTAATCATAACAAAATATAAATAAATCAAAAACTATTTTAAGTTAAATATTAAATTTTTTTTAAATTGCATCTTTGTATTTAGTACAAAATATAATTTTGCTTGCGGTAAAATAAACTTTTCATTGAAAATACGTCTTCTTCAATTATGTATGTTTAATGATGTAAACTGGATTGAACGTTATTTTGGATTGCTTAACGGAAAGATTACACTTTTAATTTGCATTATTTCGTATAATTCTTGACTCTCAATTTCTCGAATTAATTAATTTTTTTTTATTAAAATTTAAAATGTTTTTCATAATTACTCGAGATTACAGCGAAACACTTGTATTATAAACAAATTACTTGTAAACAAATTATCGCGATCGAATATATTTATCGAATACATTAGCAGATTTTGCTAAAATTAACAAATAACTTGAAGAACATGTCTACATTCTACGGCTCGTAACCGCTATCTTATTTTTCATTCGACGTCATACGTTTTTGCGAAAGAGAGAGAGAGAGAGAAGATTTTCAGACAGAAAATATTTATCGTTCACTCGTGCTCCTCAAAAGCTACTCGCCAATTTATTCTCGTTTTACATCGTAGTGCAACGCGAAATGCGCACGGCGAATAACGAATTCAATTAATACGACTGTCTATAGAAATATGGAGCTTGTCTGTCGGCAACGATGCCGAAAACACCATTTCGTTTTGTAAATCACTTCGAAACTCTCGATAACGTGAGAGAGGACGAGTCTTTTCGACCGATTCGGTTAAAACTACCAGAGAGGAAATTTGCAGCCGACAATTCGCGATTATTGGTTATCTTTTTGCAAGCAGGGATTCTCCCTACGATTACATCGCATTTTCCTGTCGTTATCTTTTCCTTTGTCGCGATCCTTCAGATTTCCTTAGTTCCGCGAATTTTATGTGCAATCCGGATAAAGCAATCGCGAGGGCGTTTCTCTCGCAGCGAAAAGCCCTTCAGCGCGTACATGATAAGAGGTATATTACAATTACAGTTTTAGTTTTGATTTGTCTTTACTTGGCGATTAATAATTTTTGACTCAATTACGGCTATTTTTAATTACATACCTACATTTCTGGTTACATATCTACATTCAAAAGACTACAACAGTTGATCTGATTTGTTATTCTAAAATTTTTAATTTTTAATTAAACACGTTGTGAATGATTACATTTTTTTTTTAGTGTTTTGAAAGTTTTTTATGGACATAATACACGTTATCGAGTACACTAGTGAAGTTAAATCGCACGTCCAACTCATTTTGTGAATAAATATTTGCCATATGCATGTGCTGTTTGCTCGCATCGAACGAAGCGTACGACTGAGTTTGCGCATCAACGTGAATGAGATAGATATATGAGCTATATTCAAAGACATATATATACATTGTAGCATCAATAGCATCATCTTCGAACAAATCATTTGAACCGGAGGACAATGAAGTCCTACAATAAATAAGAGAATGAAGAAATGTGATTACTAGCAGGTAGATTTAAAAAAAAAATTATAAAAATCATAGAAAAGTAATTATTCTCTAACAAAAATGAGCAAATAAATTGTAAGTTAGAGGGGCAATTATCATGTTAATAAGGAGAAATGTAATTATATAATTTATTATTCTTATATCACAACTGAAGCAAAAGTGATTTTTAGCACTAGGAAAAATATCTTGCAATTATAATTATATATGACACAACACAATATATATATCGCATAATTTTTACAATATTTATATAAAATAACATTGTTTTGTGTTTTTTCCAGGATGAAAAGAACCAAATACTCACGACCAACGCGTGGTTGAAACTGGTGAGTGCAATCAAATCATTTCACCTTTTCCTTGCAGTCAACTAATTCTTATAAGAAAAAGTTGTTTACGTAATTTATTTTAACGTTTTAAGACTCGAATACTTTAAAAATTTTTAAGAGAAGACTCCATAGAAATTAGTCAGCAAATGTAGGACGAAGAAATATTAATTATTTACGTGAAATTTTATTTATTTGCGAAATTGTATGTTTAAAATTCTTGCTGAGTAAAATTCTCTTTGATAAAAGTTCGTATTACGCGACAGAAGAAAAACATACAGTAATGGATGTTATCCATTACCATCGTTTACGACTGGTGTGTCTGCACCTTTAATGGTTGTTGGGTAAATATGAGAATTAATCTTAGTTGACAAGGCAAGTTTCTAAGCTTTTGAAAAAGATACGTTTCACTCAACTAAATATACGCGAGTATAATATATGTAGTTAAACGGTTAAATATATGCGGGTACGTGCACAGATTCTTCTGTAGCTCCTTCTTGTATAAGCTCCGTACTACGTTGGAGCAAATGACACGTTGAAAATGCGTTCGCGGTAATTCTCTCGGCGAAATAGCCAGTTAACAGAAAATCAATAACTACACCGGTTACTTTTCCATCGCCTGCGGTCTTCCCATTTACGAGGATGCGTTGTAATATCGCTGATAAAAAATACATCTGCCGTCGCGGCGCGCATGACGAGGCGAAAGCAGCATGAGAGGGGAAAAAAATGGAGTAAAAAATTTGAGTGGATATATCTGGTTATGCTCAATAATTATGTTCCACGTGCAATTCGCATGGAATACGAGAAATTAGGGAAGTTATCATTTTTGTAACGACATTTTTCAGAAAGATTTAACCGGGCGATCCGCCAGGTATTTGCGTAGAAATGTTTTATTTCGTTTATATTAATTGTGAGTCAAATTGGAGAGCCGTAAGTCAAATTGGAAAAAAACTTGTTGAAATTTTTCGTTCTGCCCGTGTATCCGCGCAGCTGCATTTATCATTTTGAAATTCTCAAATTAATATTTTAAAGTTTAATTTTAATTCTAATGCATTAATATTAAATAATCCAATTAGCCTTAATACGGTTATGCTTAATATAAAAACAAAAAATGCGTTGCGATAGTCAACGTTATTATTTTATTCATATTAATTACAACGACTGTGTGCAAGCGAAAGAATCCTTATTAATATTCCAGGATTAAATTCATGGACGGTTGAAAAATTGATTCGCGTCACTTTTACGCATAAATAACTCGTATACGGCAGACCGAACTCGCAGATTCTTTCGCTATATTACCGATCGGATCGCGTGAGCGAGCAATCAGTAGATCAGAAACGCGAGAACGGGCGGCTGCTATTGTCGTTTCGTCTCCTCATGCATCGACTGCTTCGTAGGCGAGCATCCGCGCCAGACAACCGCTTCTCCTTTATCTCCCTAAGAAGGTGCTCCGTGTTTCCCTCGGGTGCAAAAAAAAAAGAATAGGTAAGAGCATAGCACGGGAGTAGAAGGAACGTGAGAATAGACGGGTAGAAGGAGGATGCTGTAGGGTAGGTAGGGTTGCGCGATAGGGATGAGTTCGAGAAAATCGAGAAAGCAGAAAGATGCACTCCGGAACCGCGATCTCCTCACTATTTTTTCCCCCTCCCCATCCTCTTCGCGCTCTTGTCCCTTTCTCCTGCACTCGTTTCCCTTGGCAGCGAGATGGAGGGCATGTCGAATGTTGCTCCTTGTCTTTACCATCATTGATCGAGCGTATGGGAATAAAAGAGGGAGGAAATAACACGAACTGTTTGCGCGATACACGTCGCACTCGAGTTTTCGTCGGGAAACTAAAGTTTGACGAATCCATCGCGAAACGCGCGTTATCTATGTATGAATGTATTTTAGCTGTCGTCCCTTTCTTTTGCTGCAGCATTTGGTCACGTTGCTGCGTCAAACCGCCTGCCTGCAAGTAAATTATCTTTTATGCGGCTGGCGGACGGTGATTAATTATTTACTCTGTTTGTGCGTTTAGTGTCTACGTTGGTCGCGAGATAATCCTGCTGGACTTTTTCATCGCGCGAGCTTTTCGCAGTTTCGTTCTGTGGCGCCTGAAAAAGCCGGTACACATCCTGGCTGTAATTAATTTCGAATTTCATGATATCAACGGGGCGCTCTAATGTTCCCTCCCCCCCGTCGCTATAATTCTTATCTCGTTCGTATATCACGTAATATCGATATTATCCTCTAAGTTTATAGCCACTTTATTGTCTTTAAGGAATTGATTTTTGATGAAGAGAAACGTCTCTTTTTCGCCTCTTATGTGCTTCCACCTTGATGAATCTTTCATCTTTCTTTTTCTCTCTTTCTTGACTTTCTCTCTTCTCTCTTCTATAATTCCGATTGTATCTTTTTTGTGACACTACTCTTTTTATTCGAATCATTTTACCGGTGAAGAATCAGTTGAAAAAAAATTACAGACAGCTATGAGGTTCTTCTTGATAATATTGAGTCAGAAGGAAGAAAGCGACCATAAAAGACGCTTCATCGTCAATTCATTAGCACCAAGTCCCTTGGCGTTGAAATTCTTAATTCTCTTATTGTTAATTTTTTAAATACGTCTTTATATATGAAACACCTCGATGTTTCCAATTAGAATCTTAATTATTGTTAAATACGACAATACCCGAGATATGTTCAGTAGAAAGTAGAAAGTTCGAATTTCAAAATTGTCAAAGCCTAAATTGAAATGAAGGATTCATTCTCATCTCATTAGTTAAGGCAGAGCCATTACTTATCGCATAAACCGCCTTCAAGACAGTCAATCAAAAGTTTCAAATTTACTAAGCTAAATGGAATTTTAGAACAGTACTTGGTAGCAGCCTCGTATACATACATTATGACACCATATTTAATGGCTATGCGATAGACGTTACTTCACTATTACTGCTGATGAATGTGAATACATGATAGTGGCAATGTCTTTTGTACGTTAGGGAAAATGACCGAAATATACACGCGCACATATAATCTATTTCTGAATATCATTATTTGCTTCGATAAGTCGGTATCTCAACTACATGCAGTGTTCGCAAACCCGTAAGAAAATATAATGTTGCAAGTAGTACTTTTACAAAAATTTCTTATTTATCAAGCCGGACTCTTTCAGTTTGTTGAATAATTTATTGACAGATAGCCGATACGCAGCTGCGGTTTCGAGGGTAGGTTAATAATATAATGCACTTTACTTGAATTCATATCGGAGCAGCGTATAGATCGAAGTAACATTAATCGACGTTCCAAATCTATATGTGACGAACACGTAGATCATAATAGTCATTTCTTAACATAATAGTAGTTTTAACAAGATTCTTATATCGATGTATTACATTAGTCATCTATTACAAACGTGAGAAATGAACTTAATTAAGTACGAGTAATTTAATACTTCACCTTAGGAATGAACGTTTACATAGCCAAATTTTTTACACCAAAGTAGAATTAACTTTAATCGTTTTTAGACATGCAATAATATTATCCTAATACTTTTTCGGAAATATATCGTCTTTAATAAAATTGTACTAACAAATTTTTAATATATTAAACTTTCTGTAACAAAGTTTAGTTAAAATCAACTGAAAATTAGATTCATGTTACCTATTAACGCCTCGAAAGTTTCTCTCTAAAGGTATACTTTGTGGCTTTTAAATTAAAAGTTCTTTGTGTCTCGGGAATGTAACAGGTTTTTTCCTACCTTCTTCTTTATTATACGTAACTGAAAAAAAGTGACGATAATTCTGGAATGCAATATCCACACGATAGCATTTGCGGGCAAATAGCTACGCGAGTGACACGAAAGAACACTTTTCGTGTTCATGGCTCGAGCCGAGATATACAAGTTGGGATTCCGAGCGGCGTCCCCGCGCGATTGCCGGGAATAACGTAGTTGCGACGCGACGACAAAGTGTCCAAATAATTGCACGTGTGCATCCTCGACTCGCCGGGAACGAGATCACCGACGATATCAGTTGCCTTTGCGTGCGAGCACAAAGGGCCGACTAGGTGGGAAGGCAGGAGAGGAAGCGAGGAGGCTGCCACACGTAACATCATCACGTACGAACATGTCGCTCGCGTGTTGGCACGATGTAGCAGCGCTAAAATGTACGGAGTCGAGAACGTTGTCGCGACACTCACGTTTCAGCGCGAGGAACGTCGCCGCTACATCATGCCTCTCGTTGCGCTGGCATTTTAGATCAACCGCTTCGTTGCGAGCAGCCGAGAGCGTAGAAGCAGCTAGTTATGTCTCTGTGTCTCATAGCGAGCAAGAGCAATTAATCCACGTTGAATATTTATCTAGGAATTTATATTTATACTGGAAATGTATATGAGTATTTATATGAAGTAATTTATATGGAGTTATTCGCATGAGCGACATAATATTTGATGATTTCAGAATAAAGTTTTCCACGAATCACGTCACCGACGACGGATTTTTTTCACGTTTTCGTTAAAATATTATTGCACACTTTTATACAAGTTACACTCTAATATACAATTATAATGATCTCGAATAATTTGAATTGTTTGCTTAATATCGATTGCAAGTTGATCTCGAGCGAGGAAAATTGCGGCCACGCCTCTCTGTCCCCGTAGTCAGATCGGGGTACTTAGAAAATTGAGCGAATAATTCTTGAGGTGAAGTACCCAGATAATACATTAGGACAAGGTAGGAGAGAGAAGATGAAACGAGTTGCTCGTAAGATTAAATTAAAACTTGGATTACAATCCGAAGACGGAGATAGCGGAGGGAGCTTGTTAGCGTAATATTTTACATTAATCGGTATTTTCTTGAATGCGCCGTTTATCTCAAAGAGTGCAGTCAAGCATTGTTATCCGAGGATTTAATACCACTGCAATTAAATGCTATATTAATATTGATATATAAGTGTGCAAGTGATGACGTTTTTGGTGGTGAAATGCGTAAAATTGATAAAAATATCAATTAGATTATTATATTTCTG